CGACCTTCTGTTGATCTCGTTCTGTTCCACCAATATAAATCCTGTAAATAATTGCTGTGAAATGTCTTCACACTAAAGCAGACAGTATATAGTAAAAGTCATACAATGCAAATGCAATTGCAATGCATTATTTTCATTATACTGTAAAACACATAAATAATACAGGATCACATGTTCACATTTTTTTCTCAGCTTGAAGATGTTTAAATTCTCAATTACAAAAGTTTTCCATTGGACTGAAGGTATTTAAACCTGAAGCTGAAATATTTTGTTTTTTCTCCAAGTTAAATTCAAATAAAAATGCAACTCTGCTGCACTCAAAGTCAAGGTCAGCTGAAGAAGCAAGAGGTTAAGATTACAAGACAAAACAGGGTCAATAAAGCTTGTCCTGTAGGAGGACAAGCTTTATTGACTTCACGGCTTCATGGCTTTCATCCTTTAAAAAAAAACTTGTACCTTATACAGGATAACAAAATGGGAGATTGCAAGTCATGTGGTGTTTCCCAGAAGCTAGAAAATTGTGTTATAATTTGGAATAGCTGCATAATGTCCTAATGGTTCACTTTGCAAAACCAACAGCTTCAAGACCTTCTAGCTGTATTGGATCCAACTTTTGAAATAAAGGCAGCAATGGCACCGAACCATATTAAGCTCACAATTTTAAAGGAAAACAGAGAAATTGTTATCCAATAAGACGCAGTCAGCTGTACTCCTCCCTCATTGTATTTAGTGAAATTACAAACAAACATTTTTACAACAAAGTACACTATTAAACTCATAATATAAACAACAAAGCTTGCACACTCTTGAAAAAGTGGTCAATAATAACCCACTAGGAGCCTGTCATGGCCTTTTCTTTGTTAGCTACTATCGGCATTTTGATCAACAGCTAAATGTGCCTGGAACAGTGGACCACACTGCTCTAGACAGCCTCCCAGACGTACCAACAAATGACCGCCTGCATGTGTTACCGGAATTTAATGACCTTGATAAAGCGATTACTGCTGAAGTTTGGAAGTATGGTGGAATAAAGTTCAAAGAGAGACATCCTAACATCTTCTCCTGAGACTCAGAGCAGATTTCGAAGCAACCCAAGTAGCATCAACATGATAGTTAACCTGCGGCAGATCCAAGAGAAAATGTATAGAACACAATATGCAACTGTATGCTGTATTCATAGACTTAACTAAAGCATTTGATACATTGTCAAGGGAAGGCCTCTGGACAATACTAAAAAAAGTTTCCATGTACAGACAAAGTCATCAACATTA